GTATCGGCTCTCTCCAGCGTTGGAGGAGGATGCAAATCGCTCCCAAGAAGGGAATGGAAGGGGAAAGTGGGAAATATTATACATTTAGAACTAATTTAGCAAAAAAAACCTACTGCTGAAATTCATTTGGTTTGATTTAAGGGAAGCAAACCCCTTCTGTTATTTGAGCTGATTTTTAGCACCGAAGGCAGGCCCAAAATACCAAATATTAAAAAAAAACCTTAAGGAGAAAAAAGCACCTAAGTAGGTAATCAATGCACTGAGCTTTCTTGTTTTGAGGATAAAAAGCCTTTCACTCCTATAAATTTAAAAAAAATAAAGGAAGTTTTAGCGTTAGCAACCCCAATGATGTAAAGAATGAAGGAAGATGATCTTATAGCAAGGAAAGCAGATTAAAGGGCAGGCCTGTTGCCATCAGTATCTAACACTGGAGTTTTGGTTAGACATCCACAAAGCAAAATTTCCCACCCTAAAGTTTAACAAACACACAAAATCAAGGGATCTAAGCTTTTAAAGCCAATATGAATATTTTGAGAGCTCTCTGCACTCTTCACACAAACAGACAAAATATTTTGGGTTATGTGGCCGTAGAAGAGATTAAGTATAAAATATGCACAGTGTTTAATTGCAGCTGACCCACTGGTCAGCACCTGTTTTTTAAATATCCACTGCCTGTTTCCTGAGAGAAAGGGACCTTTCCATCAAGGAGGAATCCCTTCCTGCACACCATGGAATTCTCCAGCTCCCAGACCGGAATTCTGGAGGCTGAAGGGTGTAAGGGGTTAATTTACACAAACTGTAGAAGTTAAAACACTCATTTTTAGCAGACTATTAATGCAGTTGGATGGTCTCACCAAGGTAAAATACAAAGATTATCAGAGAGTCAGGGAATGGTTTGGGTTGGAAGGGACCATAAAGGTCGTTTTCCACCCCCTGCCACGGGCAGGGACACCTTCCACTAGCCCAGGTTGCTCCACTGGCCTTGGAACTCCAGGGATGGAGCATCCAAAAACTTCTCTGGGCAACCCATGCCAGGGCCTCGCCACCCTCAGAGCCAGGAATGATTTTAATTTGTCCTTCAGAAAATATGGTTTAACCAGAAAATAAGGGAGATCACCGAGGTGCCTGCAATGACTGAGCACAGGGCCCGGTGTTTACACGGAATAAAAACATCACAGGGATTAGAAAAACAAATGAAAAATCACCCAGTGCATAATGGAGTTTGTCAACCTCAGCCTGTTTGCTTCTGCCTCTGAAGTGCCATTCCAGTCTCCTTCGATTGTACACTGCTTTTACTGAACTCAACCCTGCATCAGCAGCATCTGCATTTCAGTAAAACAAGAGTTTTAAAATAAAATGAGTCCTAATGCCCACCTTGCAAAACTGGAGCTGTAGTTTAACTATTCTGTAGTTTAACTTCTCTGTAGTTTAACTTCTCTCTAGTTTAACTTTTCAAAACCCAACAATACGAAGCCAGAAAAATAAAAGGGCACCGAAGATGTGAAGGATTTTCTTTCTTTTTTTTTTTTTTTTTTTTTAACTCAAAGATTTTAAGTGTTTGGAAATTGTTTATTCTAAGCTGACGTTTTATTTAAATATCCTATTCAGCAATTATGAAAGCAACCTCATTCCACATTTCACTTCCACTAAAATTCACCGGTTTTGTGTCAAACTCTTCCTAACAACAGCACTTTGTCCTCCTTAAATATTGGGGAAAAGGGGTCCACAATGGCATTTCACAGAGAATATATCACATGCTGGCTTAATCACATATAAATCAAATTTTCTGCCAACTAAAATATTGAGACAGGATATAAGATATAGAAAAAACCTGAAATTTATATCTAATTAATTTGTTGGGTTTTTTTTAACTGGCGAAACCAATTCCAGCCAATTAAGAGTGGGCAGAACCACTGGAAATAAGAAATATTTCTTTATTAATCTCAAGCCTCGCCAGTGGGATGTCTGTGCAACGTCAAAAACTGACGGTTTCATCCTAAAATCTGCAACCCCAGGGGTGCTGTGAGGAGAGGAGGCACAGAGAGAGGCCAGATCAACCTGCTCAGGGGGCATCAGGAGAAATACCTGGGAAGAAAAGGGAGAGAGAATTCTCTCTTTCAGAGAGGAAGACAAAAAAAAAAAAGCCAAGATTCCGATCTTGGGGTGAGGATTTGAAACTCTGGTGTAAGAAATAAAACCAGAAATGCTTTTAGGGAAAGCCTCCAGTCATTCAAGTGAAGCTTTTAATGTGAAGTCACAACGGGAATATTGAACCTTTAAAACCTTCTGACGTCTAAACGAGTTTTTAATCAATGATTAGGCCGATGTCATTTAATTTTAGGTACCTGCAGGTGAATCCCCAGCTTGTTGTTACCTCAGGACACCCCCAATCCAGGCCAGGGATGGTCCAGTCACTCCTCCAACCACCCCGAGCTGCCATCTGGAGAGCTGATGAACAATCAAGGGACTCCCAAATCAAACGCCAGAATTTTCCCTTAGAATCTTTAGGACAACACTGTCAAGTCCAATCTATTCCCTGGGCCTCCAGAATCAATTTTTCAAACTTTATGACAGGTCTAATAGTTCCCACCTGTTCCTCCTGCTTGACTTTTGACTGGCACGTTACCAGGCAGGGTGGAAATGCAGACAAAGACCCCTATTAGGCTCCGGCTGTTTCTCTACTGTGAGGTTGCTCAGCCATAAAATTAGTTCCAGCCCCCTTTCTCCTTCCATCTCTTCATTTTTTTTTGGGGGGGGTGGTAGGAAGGTTTTTGGGGGGGAGTGGAAAGGGAGGTGGAAGGAAAATGCGAAGTCGCAGAAGTTGAGTGTCGAAATTTTTTTATCATCTAAAAAGTTAAATGTCAAAATTTATATCGTCTACTGAACGATTTACTAACTCAATTAATGACAAATCACACTCATTAAAGTTGTTGAGGTGTCTCCATCATATTTTTGACCATCAAAACTTGGTAAAATTTGAGAGTCTATCATGCAACATATGATGACATAAAGGCAGTGTTTTGTAATTTTTTTCTGGAAGGATCTAATTTTAATAAAAACTAATTTTTATTCAAGCAAAGAAAATCTCTTTTTTCCTGAGACACGTTTTCCTTTCCCCCAAAACTGCCAATTAGTCACAAGTGTGATGCACATATCCTAACAAATTCAGAGGGGTTCATTTTGGAAGTACCTTAAAAACCTGACAACTTTTTTTGCTTCGATAAAAATTATCTCTGCATCGATTTCTGGTGAAATATTATCATCTAAGGTATTCAAATTTATTCATATTTACGAAATATTATCATCTAAGACTCAAGGGGTTTCACTGAACTGCAAATCACATGGATTCCATTATTCCATTACCCAAGACAATCAAGTATTTACAGTAACATCAACCGTAATATTTAAGACAAACACTTTCACTTCTTAAAACAAAGGTCTTTCTGCAAGAGAGACTGAACATAAATTATTAATAAATTATTAGTTTTAATTCAAATGATAATCTGCCTGGGACCATCTTCCCAGTCTTAGAGCCAGGACTCCTGGTTTACAACTTACCTGAAAATCAACTCACCACGATGGGGAAAATCTCAAAGACCTCCATCTGTAAGCACTTCATTACATTTGGAAGACTCAATATGAAAAAGCAACCTTTAAGTGTATGAGAGTAAAGGTTCTGCAGGCATTGAAAGAACCAAGACCACCTCCCCTGCTTTTCTTGCTAATTAATCACCCGTAAATTGGTCAGACGTGGCTCTGTTTCGCTTGTGATGTTTCAAATGCCTGTATCTCTCTCCAACAGCCACTGCCAACCAGCTGCAGGGTGAGGATGGAGATGTGGGGAAGGGGATTGGCAAAGTTAAACAGCAACAGCATTTCATGTCTGCCTCTAAATTGCAGCATTTTGGCACAAATTATCATCTGTAATTTCTATCAACTGCAAGACTACAAATTAATTTAGTTAAACGCTGTTATAACGCACCCTCCTTCACAGATTTTGTGTGCAGAGATTGTTTTGTGTGCATTTATTACTTGCGTGAAGGCACATTCTGTAGCTTGTATCAGTTTAGGTCCTCAGGCTGAGAACTAAAGCCATTATTGCTGGTGAACTCATCAGTTAAAATGACAATCAAGGTGATTTAACCAATAATGCTGCTAAAGGAAAAAAAAAAATCCAACCCCAAATCCCTGGGGTTCTTTTTCACCGGTTAAAAATTCATCCGCAATTCCTGCCGCTAAACTGATACTCAAAAGTAACTGCCAAGAAAAGTTACAGGTAGAAACACTCATGGAATAATCTGTCCTGAAGAGCAACAACTTCCCAAAGACAGGTTTTTCCATCAGACTTCCCCGAAACACAACAGTGCAGTCTTTGTGCACAGGCTCCGACCCGAGATTTAGTAGCTGTGACTTTCATATCACTTAATCCCATTTAAACTCCAAAGAACAACCCTCTCAAAGGTATCCCACAGCTCATTCACAAGGGTCATCTGTGTGATGACGAAAGAACTTCTTCCATAAACCCAATCCATGTTTTAAAAACCCAAACAAACCACTAAAGGGCGTTTCAGTGACACGTTCAGCAAAAGAAATGAGAATAAACAGTAATGGTAAAATTAAGGACAAAATCACCTTGGTATTACTTTTGTCAAATAGTTAGCTTAGAAAATAACTTGTACCAGGAAATAACTTCTAAAAGGAAATAACTTGTGTCAGAAAATGAATTTAAACTTCTAAACATGAATTTTGTTGACCTCGAACTTTCCCGGTGATATTCATGCTTTGCAAGGGGGATAAAGATAAAACTCCACTCCCAAACACAAAGCTGTCACACTCAGATTTCCCCCTTTTTGGCTTAGCATTTCAGACACCACAGCTCAATATTCTGTGAACACAAAGATTTTGTGTCCCGTTTCTTTCCCAACACCGTCCGATTCCACCACAGCTGGGAATCCCCGATCCCAAAGCTGACCTGGGATGGTTTACACCTCTTTTCTTACCCATCCAGAAGGTTCATTGTTGTGGTGGTAACCTCGGTGAAAAGCAGGATCTTCCCCAGCTTCTTGGTCTGAAGGTTCTGCTGATACATCTCAAGGCTGAAATGCTCCGAGGAGAAACTCCCCATCTCCGTGACCACCGGCACGAGCGATGGAGTCACCTCCGCTTGGGGGTCCCAGGAGGAAACGAATTTAAGGGACACCTTGCTGGATGCCCTTAATCCTTCAGCATCCACATTCCCCTCCAGCCACTTCAGAAAGGCGAGGTGGATTTCCTGCGGGCGAGGGAAATAAAGTGAGAAACACAGATCGCGTTTTTCCGAGAACGTTTTTATTGAAGGAATCATTTTCTACTTCTGAGCAGGAGAATTAACCCCATTTCAGCTTCAAAGATAGAGTTCTGCTGCTTTGTTCTAGTCCAGCCTGACCTGACTACTTGGTTTTGTCCTCCTAGGCTTATTTGCAGACTAATTAAGGTGAATTTTTCCCTACCACAGGGTTTGTGGTGGTTTTCCTGAAGCCTGGATTGGGCACATGCATCTGCGTTATGGCAGCTTTTTCAACATGCTGAGATTCTCTGCTGGAAGAAGCCCTACAGTCCATCACCAGTGCTGGATTTGAAGGATAAAGCAGCAGGCAAGGAAAGCACTTAGTGATTTCTCAGCAGAGCATCTGCTCAAATGGCTCATACCTTCAGCTGATGGATGGTTTACCACAATTATTACCTGAAACAACCGTCACCCGTTCACAGAACTCCTTCTGGAGGTAAATAATTCTACTTGGATAAATGTGATGTGAGACGTTTGCACTGCCTTTGGAAGCTGTAAATTAAGAGCCCACGGACACAGAGATGCTGGGACTTCTCGTAGCTTAAATTTCAGAGAGCTGCCCTGGGTCGAAGCCATCTTTTATCCCGATAAATGAAACCGCAAAAAAATCACGATAAAACTGGTGATTCCTGCCCTCAAATTTTTAAGGGGAGACTTCTGACTTTTAAATAAAGAAGTGCTACCAAACACACGCCCCTTTTTCCCACTTGGGGCTGTGTGTGGGAACTGGAATAGGAGTGTTCCCTCCCTGAGTGCTGAGGACAGAGCTGAGTCCTCCTGGCCTTCAACAAGTTGTCTCAGAGCTCCAGCCCAACCCTTTTAAAACCAAAAAACCCCAAACCAAGAGCAAACCTCCTGTGGACAGTTAGTTATCTACCCCAGCAATGACTCCAATTTTCCACATCCCCAACTGTTACACCTGAGGAAGGAATGAGAGAAGTGCTCAGAAGTTCTGCTCCCAACACCTTCCTGTGGATTTCCCACCCTCAGGAGCTACAGATTCTCAGGTTTCCCAGGGTCACTGCTGCCTGTGGGACGTTCTCTGTGTGCTGAGTGTCAGCACAGGGGCTGGCCTGCAGCACAAATTGTAGAGAAGGACACAAAAAAGGAAGGTTCTCTTCCCAAATTCCATCACTTCTAAGCCCCAGGACAATCTCAGAGTGACTCAGTAGCTAAAGTGTAATTAAAGAGAAATTACTTCTAATTTCTTGGCTTTCTAAAGCTCCCTCTGAACTCTAAATTTTAAAATAAAATATGCTTTAAATATCCCCCCCATTTTTCTGCATATGCATCATAAATTATGATAATAAGTGATAATAATGAAAGGTTTTGTGAGCATTTCTTTGACTTGATTTGCCTGAAGCACTTGTACCTTCCCTCAGTGTCACACCAGAGCTTGGACAGGCTGCTGATAAACTCTCCACACATTATCCTACTTGTTTCACATTTACTGGCTGTAACTGATATTTATAAAAATTTCAGCTTTCATTTCTGTCAGGGAAAAACTACTTAATCAGAAAGTGCCTTTCCCCATTGTTTTTCAAACACAGGAATTCTCTCAGCAGACTTGGGTGTGCAAGTCCTAGACAAAAAACAAGATTTAAACTCACATAAGGAGGTGTTACAGCAATTAAAGTGACAAAATAAAGGTGCTTTAAATAGGATTACATTCTATGCAAATTGCTTGAGGCAGAGTCAGAAATTCTGGTGCCCTTTTGCCCCAAAACAGTTTCTTAAAAGAGCAAAATACCATCTATTTATGTGTGGTGTTACATTAGTACAAATATGCCACACAATTCCAACCATTTATGATTGAATATATATAAATATATACTTGACTGTATTTTCTTTCAAGTGCTTTTTTTCCTCATAGTTTTGAGGCTTACTCCTTGATTTCATTTCCTTGCTTCTAACACAGACTGAACCATTTAAGAATTGTTATTATGTGTATAATTACCAAGCTAATTTCTTTTCCCCACGACGTCCTCGAGCTTATTGAGCTGAGCAAAAAGATAAACACGAGGAATTCATAATCAAGAAGAGGGATTTTTTAAAATTCTTAAGAAAACAGTGGTTTACATGTTTTAGAAAGTGGAGTTTCATATACACACTAGAAAAATGAATTTTTACTGTAAGAACACAAAGTTCCAGAAACGTGGATGTTCTGTGGTCCCCACAGTTACAGTGGCACACAGAAAAGCGCATTATTATACAATAAAATACATTTATATAAGAAACAGGGCTAAACTCTGCTTCAACCCCACCGAAAAGGAATAACATCATGTCAGAGCCTGAACTGTGGGATTTGTTAAACTGAGGATTGAGCTGGAATTCCAAACCCTCTCCTATTCCAAACGGCATCCGCCGTTCTGTAGCAACCTCTGGTGGTCACTGCAGTGAGAAGTGCTGGGTCAGGAACCTTTGGGACCAGCCCAGGTGTGTTCCAGGCAGACAACACAACACCCAAATTCCTGCCCACTGCTTTCCCTGAACTACCTAAAATGATCTAAATCCTGAAAGATGCAGGTATGAGCTTTAAATGGTTGTGGAAGCCAAGAAGCTGCAGCTGTTTTTGTGCTCAGGCACTGACAGTGTCTGCAGCCACTCACACACACAGTCCTAGGAAATCTGCACTGCCCACCCCATCACTTTCCTACTTTGTAAATGTAACAATACCACCCTAAAATTGTGATTCATCAGTTTTGGGTGGGAGAACTGAAGTGAAGCCAAATTTAATTTCAAGGAGTAACAGAATCATCGAATGGTTTGGATTGGAAGGGACCTGAAAGATGATCCAGTGCCACCCCCTGCCATGGGCAGGGACACCTTCCACCAGCCCAGGGTGCTCCAAGTTTCCCCATCCAACCTGGCCTTGGACACTTCCAGGGATCCAGGGGCAGCCACAGCTTCTCTGGGCAACCTGTGCCAGGGCCTGCCCACCCTCCCAGCCAGCAATTCCTTCCCAATATCCCATCTAACCCTGCCCTCCTTCAGGTTAAGACCATTATTTCCTATAAAACTGTAGGGTTGGGTTTTTTCCAAACCACACTTTTTTCATGTACATTCCCAAAGGCAAAGACTTTCCCTTCTCTCTCGAAGTAAGATTGAAATTTGACACGTCAACCAAACAGCTTGGATACAGGAGAGTTAATCAGCTTTTTCACTGCTAAAAAGTACTCAACCAGAAGTTTAATATTTCTAATGGGAAAATGTTTCTTACCTGTATTTTAAATGGCAAAAGCACAACATGGTTTCAATAATTTCACAGAAAGTTAAGCCTCTACCCACCCTCAGCTCCTCCAGCACAAACTGGTCAGGGTGGTAATTGTAACATAAAGGAGGAAAAGTAAAAGCTGTATTTTGTTTATGATTTAACATCTGCTTTCTATGACTTTAAAGAGTTTGGTCAGGTGTGTGAAGAAACCGCTCCAGAGGCAGCAGAAGTTTTCTTTTGCTGTTTAAAATTCTTTTTAATTTCATAATCATTAGTTTCGCTTTTCCCCTCCCTTCGGGTTGAGATTGAATAAGGAGAGGGGAAAAGAGGGAGACATGGGAGACAAAAACCAGCTGCATGGAAAGCCTTCCCTGCTGTAGTATAAAATAACACCAAATTACAGCTCCTCATGGAGAAGATTTTATTTGCACCTGGGCTCTATCAAACAATGAGACTTGTGCACCAAGTTTCCAGCTATAACGGTGGAAAACAAGCCCAAACCCAAGACTTTATTCTTAAAATCCATTTATATTTACAGGATTTTGATGTGTTTTCTTATTTCTATCTGCATGTTCAGACCCACATAAAGATAAATGCAAAGATCTCTCTCGCTGGGCACATTTGGGAGCTGCTCTTTCCTCCCGAACTCTGATGGGTCTTAAAACTCTGTATCAATGGAATTCTTTGTTGGGATAAAATTCAGGCAGGGCCTAAATTCATTTGGTTTCTATTAAAAACGTGGAGGCAAAGCTAAATGAAAGCTAAAAATACAGTGCCATAAAACAAACATCAGACATCAGCTCTCCCTTTTCTTGGGAGGGAAAAAGGAGACAGTCTGAACTACTGATGCTCTGCCTGAAGGCTCCACACTGCGATTAGAAGGTAATTCTTCACTTTAGCTGTGCTTGTTGAGGAAGTGAGGCCAAGTATTTACTTTTTAGGTGCATATCTAGAACACAAGTGGACAATTATTCTCCTGCCTTTGCATAAAATGTGATAATTTCCAATTATTATAATAATAAAATAATAAAATATAATAATTTCCAGTTTTGCTTCACTGTACTTGAGAGGAGTTTGCAGGTGATGCACTGACTCATATATTATCAGCTGATGGACTGATTAAATCACACACATATGTATGTATTTATTTATCTGTAAACTGCAAACAAATGAGGATTACAAAGGCAAAGCCCCATTTAGAGACATCACACCTTCGACCTGGCTAAAACCTGCTTGGGTTTTGGTTGTTTCTAAATTGCTTTGAATTGATTAAAGTTATCATTTCAAATGCAGACATTTCACTCCTGTGGATTCCATAACAGCACTGATAAAAAAGGACATATTTTAACGAAGAGTGCAGGGCATTTGGAATCTGAGTTGAATTTTGGAATCTAAAAATTCCCACACACATAAATACATACACACAAAAAATGCATCCACACCCTCCCTGAATTACCCAGCTCTGCCCAAGAGCCCTTCAAGTTTCAAGGTGTTTAAACCTTCCTGTAAATGCACAGAAGATGCAGGGAAAATGTGATGTTCTACATAATCCTTATTCATTTCAAACCCTACATGTCTATATTACTCTTTGCTGAGGATTTGTAAAACATTCTGCAACTATTAAATTTACCACAATCGTTCATTGAAAGGGATTATTCTGTTTTAAAAGTAAAAGGGAGACCCAGTACAGGGTCTTTCTCTCCAGGCAAAGACTACAGAAATGAGGGGAAAA